AACCTACTTTCACTTTTACAGTTAGGATGGTCCCCTATGGTACCACTGTTCTTATTATTTCTAGCAAATTGTTGAAATAAAAAGAACTTGTATTTACTATTTTATTGAATAGTGTTAAGCTGTCGCATCTTGACTTTAAAATACACATGTCATTCATAGAATAACTCAATGATTTAAATTAGAAACATCTATGGTCAGTCAGCCATGTTTTGAATGGGAGCTTAAACGGAGAGCACTATGGTACCGTGGTATGTTAATTGATGGCCCTTTTTGGCTTCAGTATAATTTTTTGTAACAGAATATGATGTCACTACAGTTTCAGCAGACGACCTTCACTTGTCAGAACATGAAATTATAAGTTTAACTGTTAAATATTGGGTAAAATAAAGAAGTATTTTCAACACACACGGGCAGCTTTGGATTTTCCTATCAATGACAGAATTTATTTGAAATGAAAAAAATTCTAACAATTTCTATCCAAATTCACAAAAAGCAGCACTTCCACTTTCACTTTAATGGTGGAAACAGTTTTTGGTGGCATTCTACGTGTAAATAAACAAATTTTCTGATTACATCGGAATTGGCAAGGACGCGGTGCCAGCGGGGAGTACTATAACTGTTTGATGACGTAAAATATGACGTCATTGTTTCAGTTTGTGCACGTGCACATGTTCTGCGGGCTGATAACTAGTTCTCGGCCCCGGGCCGCAAACTCATAATAGGTCACGTGACACTCATAATCAGTTGAAATCATAGGCAATTTTGTTACTATATATAGTAACAAGTGTATTAATCAGCATTAATACAATTGCAATACTGCAATCAAACAATTATCGCGTGTAATGCCATAAACAGTTTCAGTCTAACCACGGAATTAATTGCAAAATTTTACTTTTATATTGTATTGACAAGTTAAGATACATACAAAATGACTAAAATAGACCTGTACTATTAAAGCCGTGCTCTAAGTTCTCTAACAAAGCCTGCAACATATTCCGTTTTGCCGTTTTGGGAGTTCTTTACAAATTTCGTTTCTTTCTATTTTGGGCTGCAACGTCTACAAACCATCTAGTTTATTATAGGTCAGTGGTCTAAGGTAGTGACGTAAAATTACGATCCCAGATAAAACTGAAAAGTTTTCGTTGTTCACGATATCTCTTTAATATCCAGACTAAATTTAAATATATATTTCAAATTTGCTGTGATGAATGAGTTTCAGTGCTTTCTGATTTTAGCTTTTTTAATGCCACATCAGCGTTATTTGTGCCGTCTGTCTACTTTAACAATCTTCCGGCACATATCTTTAATATATATCTACATTTTATATTGTTACAAACTAAATTAATTGTGCCAGAATATTATCACATTGATTTTCCCATCTGTACACTAGAAAAATTGAAATACATGGCCATTAAAAATAGCTTTAAAAAACACTTTTACGCAATTATCCATTACGGAGCATATTTAAATTTAACCTTATTAATTCTAAAGTTTGATTTTAAGGGATATTATTTTACACTTTTACAGTTAAATACTGGTTAATAAAAATATGATTACAATAAATATTTTTTTTTAAATTTTAAGCTTTAACATGATACCACCTAAAATGTTAAAATTTACTTATTTATATTATATTCCCAAAGTTTTTTTCTTACAGCAGCTTAACAATAGATGCCCCCTGTCACTTGATATACAATTATCCAATAAACCATTTAGGTGTCACCTTCCCTGGCCAGCCTGTTCATATGGTCTAGTGCACTAGAAGTGCACACGGTGTGCACTTCTAGTTCAGCTCTAGTGCACTCAACTGTATACTATTTTTTTCATATTTATTTTTAATCCACGCAGGTCAATCAGCACTATAAGTGGTATTTTAAATTGTTTAACTTCATTTTTATCAAAACATTGACTTTACTTCACAGCATAGGTCAACAAACAAATCTTATCCCCTCAGTGAAAGTAACAGTTGATTTCCTGAAGTCCAGAGAATTTATGGTAATGTAACTTAATTAGATACACTTAATGAGACATGTGCTACATTACCATCTAAGAACATGTATGAATGGTAGTTTTTAAGCAAATAAACAAATACTGGATTGGCAATATTTGTGGATCTGAAAAGCTACACAATTAAGTCTTCGTTTTATAGCTCAGGATCGTGCAGACTGTGCTATATGTAGATTATTCTGCATGTGAACCTGAACACCTTTGCACAATGTAAAGGCATATTTGTTGATTTTTCTAAATTCAAAATTCACATTCCAGTACCATCCATGAGCATACTCAATCAAACCGAACATGTAAGATATTACGCGAACAATTTTGTAATTTCGGACGTTCTGAAGGAATTCTGGTTTTCCCTATTCTATCACCGGTACAAACATGCCTCAAACAGAACGGAAGACTTTTAATCAGTTTGATATTGCTACAACAAGCTAGTTGTATGATGAAGAACCTGAAGCAGAAGGATGATTTATTAAACACGGAACTTTTAACAACAAAAACTTCAAAAAGTGCATGCATATTGATTTATCCATTTTTGTGGAGAAGAAAATATATATTCGTCGGTTCTGATAAGAAGGAGGGAAGACTACGACAGAAACAGAAACATTGGCTATTTGAAAGATACTGATCATATCGAGCCTGAAAAAAATCCAATTTTTCTTTGTTGACATTGCTTTTAATTTTCCCCTTTAATTTATAGCTTTCTCCAGTGTTTAGTCTGTATCATGCACGGTGTTGTAATATCAATTCCATTGATGATATAAATAAGTAAGATTCTAATGATTTTTGTAACTTATCACAGCAGAGTCATTGGCCCTTCATTGGAGTTGATTTATTTCACCCACCTTATGTATTACATTAATTTTAACATATTTAATCTTGGATGTAACAACTTATTAAATCAGACTGTATCGCCAAAATTTGTAGCGACGTCTAGCTAGAAGTGGAGAGAATTACATAGAGGATATTTGTTTAGTTCAGTGTAAGATCGGAATATATTACACCGAGTGAGCACCAAAAGGTATATTTCACGAGTGGCGCAGTCACGAGTGAAATATGAACTTTTGGTGTTCACAAGGTGAATATATTTCGATCTTACACTAAACTTAACAAATTTTCTTTTTATTATATGCAAAGAAACGTTTTTAAAAGACATTAAACCTAATACTGAATGAAAAGCGCGCCAAATAATACTACAGCGTGACGTCATTTACGACGTCACGTCATTAAGTTGGTTCCCAGTACTGTGCACGCTGGTATTTCACTGAAACAACGTAAGGGGCTTAAATTCAAAACAGTGAAATTATCAAAGTGGTAATTTCACTGTTTCAAACAGTGAAATTACCAGTTTTATATCACTGATATATTTCTATAAACCACCAAAAAGCATGTAAAAAAAATAAGCTTTTAGCTTTCAGTTCAATCCACTTTTAATATCATGATATTGTAATTTTTTCTGTATGTTGTGTAGTATTGAAACTTGAAAAAATATAAATATGTTAAAACCAATGTTTTTACATTTTCAGATATTATTGAGAATTACTTACATTTTTTTAATCTTTATTTTTTTGCAACTTCTTTTTAGATAACATGGCGGCGTACACATCAGTTAATTTCTCTTGTGTTAATCATAATCCCGGAAAATCTTGTGAAAATGTGAACTTGTGAGATAATATATCCCTGATAATGATTTTACGTGTATGACACCAGTTTCCTCTCAATCTAAATATCCCTCATCACAGTGATCAAATTCATTCGTGATTGCCTGATCAAGTATTCTTTGGCTGAGGGGCTAATGTTTGAGAGTCCAAACATACCCCACCCCATTTTAGGGAGGGGGGTCTGGGGTCCTCCCCAGGGAAAAAAAAGAAATCTTCGTGTTTAATGGTGGCTTCTGGTGCATCTTAGGTGCACATTTTGAAATGGAAGTGTCTTTATATTTTTCACAAAGTTTCAGACTTTATTAAATTTGTGTTGAAATTAGATTTTATCTTTGCAAAAGTCGAGGAAAATCAACTTAATGTTTACTGATTTCTAGGGTAAAAAAAAACAAGAAAAAATATCAACAAGGTAAAGGCAACGTTCACAGGACGCAGCCCCCGACACACCCAAGAAGGGCACCCAGAAGACACCCAACACAAACCTGGATATTTTATAACTATGATTTTAAAAGAATTTTCCGGATAGTCAGATGGTTTTAAATTGTCCTGCTTGCTATAGAAATGCTTTTAATTGGTCCTGCTGCGTACTTTAGAAAGGAAAATCCCTGATAATGTATTACATAAACACTAAAAAGCGATGCTTTAGATCTGCTTTTGATTAAAAGTTTACATCACTTGTTTCACTTCAGTATTTTTATAGATAAAGAGTTAAAACTAGCTGAAAATATATACAAAAAAAAATCATTTCAGGAGGCTATTTCAAAATTACATATATTTCGATCTACTATAAATTTAACAGTTCTTCTGCTTATTGTGGTACAAATGAAAAAAGTGTGAGACGTTCATTAAAGCTTATCATTTTCATTCCTAACAATGAAAGTATGTTATATACAGTATCTTAAATTTTTTTCTCAGACAGAAAGTATAGTATACTTTCAAGTCACTTGACAGTGGAGCACAAAAAAGCGATCTCCGTATACATTTCTACATAAATATAATCTCAAATTTTCTTCGATGTTCCGAATAGGTTTACTATGAAAAACTTTAAAAGTAGCCCTTTACTATGTTTTATTTGAGAAAGAATTTAGTAGTGTTACCAAGAAAATTGAGGAGATTTAGTGGTGTTAATAAAAAAGCTAACAAAATGATAATTTCCATAAAAACTTAAAAATAATTGTCGAAAAACTGTTCTTTATTAGATCTATAAGTAATTCTTAACCCTTCAGCGGTTTAGATACCCTCTCAAATTTTTCACCTCACGTTTTATTCACATTTGGTTAACTACATTACAGTAGAGATTATTTTTACCTTATTCGTAGGTAACGCGGGAAAAAACAAAATATTAATTTTTTTTAGAAACGTTGCCTACGCTATCAATAAAAATACATTATGAACACGAAACATGTTAAAAGATATCCCTATTGATTTGTGACGAAAAAGACCTTATTTTTTATAAGTCAAATGTTTATTTTGATTCGGAAGTGCGTGCGCATTCCGTATGAGTTAGACTCTGGTAATTCATGGCCGATTCTGCATAGCAGACGAGCTTAGATGCAAACATGCCAAATAAGTCACAAGTCCAAGATGAAGAAGGTGACTGTCTTCCTAGTTATAATCCTCATGAAATGCTGGTGATATCTAATCCGATAATTATTTTTGTACGAAGACGCTTAACATGCATGCGACCTGAAACCTGGATGAATTGTTGAGATCGGCTGCTTTTAATTTAAAGTTGTCATCAAGGTGGATTTTCTAAACAAAATGAATCCAACGATAGGTTACAACAGGCGACATCTTAATCTATACATTCTGCTTGTTGTCACGATTAACTTGATACGCAACTTAAAGTTGTGCATATCAATAAATTCCTTTGTCAACAGACGAACTTTTCAAAATGGCGTCTGTTTATTTTTAGTGTCATCTGCTAGGCTTGCAGACGATATTAGTTACCTACATGCTTTATTTGGGGAAACATCAATTTTATTTTATTGCAGTTAGCAAACTAAAAGTAAAACTTCCATTTTTTGTCTAGCTGAAATAAATTCAAAATCTAATAAAATTTCAGTTTTAGAACTTGGACAGAAATGAAAAGTCAGCTGAGTTCTCTTCTTCAAACTTTAGGAATATCAATAACAGCTTGAATTGCTGAAATGGAAAAATATTTTGAAACTAGTGAAATTTTGGTTGTCCATGGTGAATGACAGACTTCTGCTATAAATTAGCTGAAAGAAATTAACAGCACATTGAATTTACATCAATAAGAAAATTGCACATGCCTTATAATTCTGCACCCAAATTAATGAACTAACTTGTAAAGAATTATTTAATTGTCTTGTAATTGATCCATCTTTGATTCTCAGACCACTGGCGAGTCAGTTTGTACTCTTTTATAATATCTATACTCAACATCACTAATTCCGCATCATCACTTATTTCACGGTAATGGCATATTTTTATGTGACCAGTGTTAAAATTGGTCAGAATTGACATATTTTATTCAAACAACTAAACAACAAAGTTTTTGTGCAAAATATTTTAAATCTTTAGATTTTTACTAAAACAGAACAACATTTTACAAACTTCTGCAAAAAGCATCAATAGTCCATTAAATTTGTACATACGTCTGAAACAATCATAATTTTCAAAATGTTCTTGTTTGTTGAAAAAATAAATTTTGAGTTACAATGTAAAGATAATTTTAATATTTAAAATTATGCAAAATAACATGTACAAATTTTAACTGAAACATAAAAAACTGAAATAAAACACCATTACCGCGATTTAAATGATGGCATACAAAATGGCCGACATATGATCTACGTCTGGCTTATTTAAACTGATTTTGAATAAATATATTGTTGTTTCCAGTCGTACAGCAAAAAATACCTGTATGTTACAGCTTATGACAAATTTTGTACCATAAGTTTTATGTGTTGTTTTCTTTCTTGCTTCAAATAGTTAAGTACCGTGAACTAAGAGGAGCACAGTATATGTCTATCGGTCCGGTTAAAGTAAAAGAGGTGGTCTAATTGGGTAATGATATACAGTTGTGGTTTATTTAATAGTATTTTTACATATTTCTAACATCAAGAAACATAAACAATGAATTTCATCGTGGAATATGTTCAATCTACTAAATTTCTACTTATAGTCTTATACTAAAAATATCAATAGGCATGACACATGTTTGTTTTGAGTAATATTACTTTTAAAGTAAAGTTTTCAATAATAAAGACAAACAAAACAATAATGATGGATATTTACCATTATAGCACATAACCACATTGATAGTTGCTCTTAGAACAAACCATAAACTTGAAAACATAAGCAACACATCTAAGAAATTAGGACATGCGCATCTGCCGGAGAAATGTAAACAAACTTTTGAAGCGCAAACCTTCACATGCTTTCGTTGTGGAACATTTTTTCGTTACTAGCGTCAGGACCCAATGTTTTTTTATATTTTGGTAGACAAAGATAAAAGTACCTGATGTAAAAATTTTGGATCTATTTTCATTTTAGCAGTGCTCCATATTACTTAAAGATTCACAGCGTGTTTTTCAACAGATAAGTATGAATGAACGTTCTTTTATTTAAAAAAAGAATAACCTACAAAAACACTGATTTAGGACAAAATTAAAATTCATGGTTTACGGCCGTTAATAAAGTGGGTTTTTAGTAAAAAAAAAAAACCAACATGGTATACCTTGGTATTATTTTTCATGGCGGTACACAACTCTAAAGTCAAGGCCAGATTATTGAAAATGGACAGACTTGATTCATACTTGGACAAAACATCACATGTGACACCATCCACATCTTGATTAATTATTATGTAAAATTAAAGTAATAGTCTGACAGAAAATTATGTTTTTTGTGCCCCCACTTTAGTGGCGGCCATTTAGATTTACCCTTGTCCGTCCGTCCGTCCAATCTCTTTTCTGTCGCACGTAACTCAAAAAGTATTTAACCTAGAGTCATGAAACTTTACAGGAATGTTGATCAGCATGTGTAGTTGGGCACCTGGGTATTAATACCCCCGCACAACCAAGTTGTAAGGGGGGGGGGTATACTGGAATCAGCTTGTCCGTCCGGCCTTCCTGATGTCTTCCCGTCCGTCGGTTTTTCCTTGTCCGCCTAATAACTTGAGATTTCTTTGGCCCACAGTCTTCATATTTGGCATGGAGGTTATTCATGATTAGTAGATGACCCCTATTGATTTTGGGGTCACCGGGTCAAAGGTCAAGGTCACAGGGACCTTGACTTTAAAAAGCTTGTCCGCCCATAACTTGAGATTCCTTTGGCCCACAGTCTTCATATTTGGCATGGAGGTTAGTCATGATTAATAGATGACCCCTATTGATTTTGAGGTCACTGGATCAAAGGTCAAGGTCACAGGGGCCTTGACAAAAACAAACCTTGTCCGCCCAATAACTTGAGTTTCATTTGGCCCACAGTCTTCATATGTGGCATGAAGGTTAGTCATGATTAGTAGATGACCCCTATTGATTTTGGGGTCACTGGGTCTAAGGTCAAGGTCACAGGGGCCTCGAATTTAAAAAGCTTATCCGCCCAATTACTTGAGATTCCTTTGGCCCACAGTCTTCATATTTGGCATGGAGTTTAGTCATGATTAGTAGATGACCCCTATTGTTTTTGAGGTCACTGGGTCAAAGGTCAAAGTCACAGGGACCTTGACTTAAAAAACCTTGTCCGCCCAATAACTTGAGATTCCTTTGACCCACAGTCTTCATATTTGGCATGGAGGTTAGTCATGATTAGTAGATGACCCCTATTGATTTTGAGGTCACTGGATCAAAGGCCAAGGTCACAGGGGCCTTGACTAAAAAAACCTTGTCCGCCCAATAACTTGAGATTGCTTTGGCCCACAGTCTTCATATTTGGCATGGAGGTTAGTCATGATTAGTAGATGACCCCTATTGATTTTGGGGTCACTGGGTCAAAATGCTGGAAGCAAAGTGATCCCTCGGAAGCATTAATTACAACAAAATAACATAAGAATTGCAGACTCGGTTTGATTGAGTCTGTACATGAGGGATAATGAATAAGTGCAACATCCCTCACGCCCCCTAGCACCGGCTTGAGCGGTACTCAATTCTCAACACTTTATAGTGTTGGCATCAATGATCCCGAAGGACCAGAAAATATAACAACACTGAAGTGAAAGGTCACAGGGACCTTGACTTGCAGGGCTTGACACTAACTTTTTTTAGGGGTAGTCAGAAGGACTACCTACTTTGAGTATCAGGTAGTCCTTGGCAAATCTAGGTAGTCCTCATTTTAAAACATAAAAAAATGTTTCTTATTCTATTTAAATGCATTTTGAGTGTATGTATCTGAAGATATGAAAACAATAGCATGAGATCTCTTCAAATTTATTGGAAAAAATCACCAATAGATAAATCATCTAGTAAAAGTTTGTAAGCTTTATTCTACATGAGATGTAGGTTCCGGCTAGCCTCTGAGCTCTTCAAAGTCATCATCAACAATTTTTTTACATATTTTTGTTATAAAATATGGCAGTGTGACACACAAAAGTCAATAGGTTTTGAAAGGCCAGACATTACCTACAGGTACAGGGTTCTAGCCAGGAATTACTAAGGTGTGTTGCAAATAAAATTGCTAGGCAATCAGCTCAGCTTATATTATTGACAGCTTATAGGGAAGGGGACAATATATTGACAATATGAGCTAAATAAGTATGTCAGTTTTAAATTTATGTAATACCTGGCTTTTGTATTAAAAAAATATTTCAATAGAGCTTACAAATCTACTTTCAGGTATAGATAATGTATGACCTTTTAGATGTGTTTTTAAATTCAAAACAGAAGTAAAAAGCTTGGACAAGAACAAAATATGTTTGTCTTTACTCTAATTGGTTTATTCTACAAACTTATTTTGTCAGACATAAAACAACAAAATATCAGAATAACAAACTTTTACTAGTGCTAGTAATTCAGTTATTAATTAACTATCAGAAGATTTAAATAGGGACATTAGATTAATATCTGTTGTCCCTGATTTAAACACGAAATTAGAAATGTAAAGCCATTTTTAATCAAACTATATTGCCTTAGTTTTTTATGCCTAGGGTATTAGTATTTGTTAACAATTTTTTTCTTCATATACATGTATTGGCATTATTGCTTACATTTGCTTGTACATGATTAAGAAGTGCTTACAACATTGTGAAGTTATGGCAAGGACAATTACAAATACTTTAGAATATTTCTTTTCTCTTTTTTAAAGAGATTTAAACATTTTTCTTCTCTTTTTTATAAAGAGATTTTTTCCCAATCAATAATTTCATGTCCGAATAAATTACATCCGAAATCAGATCTATTTCAGACAACACGTTTATTTTGGTTATCATTGTCAGTGTGATTTACATCAATCAACAAATCATATTCTTTTAAGTTCAAACCCTTGAATAGGTTCCAATATGAGCAAATATTTTCATTGAAATGTTTAATAGACAAAGAATTCTATTGAAGTAGGCTGGAAAAATCGGCAATTAAGTTGGACTTCCGGTTTCACTTTTCGCAACTTTATAGAGATTAAATAGAATATATGCGTCTGCTGTGACTGACACTAGTGACCCAACGGCTAATTATTTACTAGTAAGATGAATTTATCTTTCGTTTTGAATCATAGCCTTAAAAAAATGTTATTTTATTAATTATTTTTAGTGAATTTAGAGACATCAGGTCACTGAAATTTTGTGTAGCCCGACGGGATACCCAGCTTGGAAACTCGGGTAGTCCTTGGGGAAATTTGGTAGCCTCCGGCTAACAGACTATCGTTAGTGTCGAGCCCTGACTTGAAAAAGCTTGTCCGCCCAATAACTTGAGAATCCTTTGACCCACAGACTTCATATTTGGCATGGAGGTTAGTCATGATTAGTAGATGACTCCTATTGATTTTGGGGTCACTGGATCAAAGGTCAAGGTCACATGGGCCTTGATTAAATAAAAGTTTGTCTGCCCAATAACTTGAGATTCCCTTGACCCACAGTCTTCATATTTGGCATGGAGGTTAGTCATGATTAATACATGACCTCTATTGATTTTGAGGTCACTGGGTCAAAGTTCAAGGTCACAGGGGCTATGACTAAAAAAAAGCTTGTCCGCCCAGTAACTTGAGATTCCTTTGACCCAAAGTCTTCATATTTGGCATGGTGGTAAGTCATGATTACTTAATGACCCCTATTGATTTTGAGGTCACTGGGTCAAAGGTCAAGTTCACAGGGGCCTTGACAAAAAAAAGCTTGATTTTAAAATTTTCACATTTGAAGCATGGAGAATACATATCTAAGCAATGCACTGGCTTAATAACCTCAGATTTGGCAGGGTGGTTGTCTTTGAGCTCTAAATGGCCACTGTAACTGTTGATTCTGACAAAGTGGTATGCGGGGGTATTCACGCCATGACAGTGGCAGTTCTAGTTTCATCTTGATATTTTTTGTATTTTTAGAGTTATTGCCCTTGACTTAGTAAAATTTTGCAATTTTCAACTTGTGTCGCTTGTAACTCAAAAAGTATTTGACCTAGAGTCATGAAACTTTACAGGAATGTTGATCAGCATGTATAGTTGTGCACCTGGGTATTTTCGTCTGGATATTTTTAGTATTTTTAGAGTTATTGCCCTTGACTTATTAAAATTTTGCAATTTTCAACTTGTGTCGCATGTAACTCAAAAAGTATTTAACCTAGAGTCATGAAACTTTACAGGAATGTTGATCAGCATGTGAAGTTGTGCACCTGGGTATTTTTCGTCTGGATATTTTTAGTATTTTTAGAGTTATTGCCCTTGACTTATTAAAATTTTGCAATTTTCAACTTGTGTCGCATGTAACTCAAAAAGTATTTAACCTAGAGTCATGAAACTTTACAGGAATGTTGATCAGCATGTGTAGTTGTGCACCTGGGTATTTTCGTCTGGATATTTTTAGTATTTTTAGAGTTATTGCCCTTGACTTAGTATAATTTTGCAATTTTCAGCTTGTGTCGCATGTAACTCAAAAAGTATTTGACCTAGAGTCATGAAACTTTACAGGAATGTTGATCAGCATATGTAGTTGTGCACCTAGGTTTTTTCGTGTGGCTGTTTTTTGTATTTTTAGAGTTATTGCCCTTGACTTAGTAAAATTTTGCAATTTTCAACTTGTGTCGCATGTAACTCAAAAAGTATTTGACATAGAGTCATGAACTTTACAGGAATATTGATCAGCATGTGTAGTTGTGCACCTGGGTATTTTGGTGTGGATGTTTTTAGTATTTTTAGAGTTATTGCCCTTTACTTAGTGAAAGATTTTTAGTTTTCAAAAAATATTTGACCTAGAGTCGTAAGATTGACAGAACAGTGGTGCGGTGGAGGCACCCGTGTCCTATGGACACATTTCTAGTTTTTGAGAATTCTTTACTATAATATTCTTCCTTCAATGTTTTTTATTTAGAAATGAGAGAAGTTGAGAGATGTACCCTGCTTGGCGATTGCTCCTGTTTTATTAGTTGAACTAATTTTGAATAACCTGCAATTTCAGGGTCAGGACTAAAAAGGAGTGCTCGAATACGTTCCAGAAAGGTTGAGTCAGACAGTAACAATGAACAGGGAGCCATGGGAATGTCACTTGATGTGCTTGCACATGTGGCATCCGAAACACTTAAGAAAGAACCTAACAGAGCGAAAAAGAATGAAAAATCTTCAAATAAAAAGGTATGTGACTAGATAAAATTTCATATAAAAATATGTTTGAGATTCAGCATTCTTACAGTGTCTATTCTAGGAGTGGGGATGGGGGATTCACTGATATTTTTGAGAATTACCCCTATTTTTTCAGAGGCAGGGGACAATTTTAAAGAAAGAAGGAAAAAATCAACCAATGTAATAAATTCTCATTTTTCGATACAAATCACCCCTGTGTTTTTAGTCATAGAATAGACATTGTCTTAGTTTAATGTATTTTTGCAAAATGTGACACCGTACTGTCTAAAATTGTGATATATCAAGGTAATTTTTATCAAGCCCCCTTTTGAATAGCAGTGCATATGGTAATGTCCCTAATGTCAATGATAATGACTAATGAGGCGTCTCGTGGAAGATTGTTGTCACGGTATCAACAGAAATCTAAAATAACCTAATTTACATTAAGAATGATTACAGCTTTATACCATCATGTTTGCTAGGTTATTCTAGAACAATGATATCTGAAACATGCTTTGTAGGTCATTTTGTGAAGATTTTGCAAATTAAACATTACAGTTCTGTCTTCTTGTAACTAAAATATTGTTATATCTATTATCTGCTACCTTAATATTTGTCAGAAATGATTTCTTATTCATAATTGTATGATATAAGTCCTAACTTGTAATATTTATTTAAGTCTTCGTTCTTTTGTGATTTGTAATCAGCGTTTTTTTTCTCTGTATTTTGGGAATGGTGCCGGTACCAGATTGATTGGGAAAATGCGTTATTTTGACTCAAATTGCAAAATTTTATTAAGCATCTTTTCAGCTACAAATGAGATTAGTCATAATGAATAAAGACAGCTAACAGCTTCCACTGTTCAAGTAGAACTATTGAGTGGTTATTTATATAAACATGTTTCATTTTAAATGATTTAAGAGAAATCTCATGGCCTTGAACAGTCATTTTGGGAATTTTCACATTAGAAATTGGGAATTTTAGTGTCTTTTTTCCATTGGGAACAGTACCTTTTTCGGGTAGTAGTTATATAAAGAAAAAAAACACTGGTAATGATTATTGTTATTATGTATGAAAGATAAATATTAAAATTGTTGACAGGCTGCACACTTTTGGTTTAATTATCTTTATGAAAAGCTAAGTTCCATATTGGACATATGTATTGTCAGAGAAATTGATGTATAGTCTACATTCTGCTTTCAGTTATCATTAAGAACTATTGGAACTGTTGAAAGTCTTTCCTTAGAGCAAATACTTGGACTGACAGAGAAAACTGTGCTAAACTTGTTTACAGAGTCCTCAGCAAATGAATTAGCAAGGACATTTACCTTCACTTGTCAATTGATTCCAAAACAATGCCAGAAGCAATACACAAGTTTTGGGAGTGAAATGAGGGCAAGAACAGAAATGAAAAAGCATGTATATAGACATCTCAGTGACCTGGAAAAAGGTAAGTCAAAAATATGATGTTGTTATACATTAAAAACATAGTAATATGTTTGTAATAGTGCCATATTGCTTTAACAAACATATATTTTGTAACTTTTGGGCACTTGTTTTGAATATTGTTATTTGTATTTAATGTGGCTTTTATTATTATTTAACTATTTAAGCAATTTTGTTTTTTACTCAGATTCAGAGACTGGAAACAAATTCATGGCAGAGCCAGTGCATATACGAAACAAGAGACTTCTCTGTAAGTAACAATGATGTAACATCAGTGTCTATTCTAGGAGGGGGGATGGGGGGATTCACTGATATTTTTGAGAATTCCCCCCTATTTGTTCAGAGGCAGGGGGAAAATTTTACATAGAGAAAGAAGGAAAAAGATCAAGAAATGTAATAAATTCTCACTTTTGAATAAAAATCCCCCCCTGTTTTTCGAATCCTAGAATAGACATTGTAACATTCCTGAACACTAGTGCATCTACTGACAAACGATAGTTTTATATTTCAGAAGTACAAATAAGGGGTTAAGATCATTGACTTCAAACCACTTGCCCAACACTACTGTGGGTTAGAATCCCAACAGAGACTTTGGATTCTTCCATGTGGAAGCTATCCAGCTAGCTTAGGGAATGTGGATGATTCTATTCAGGTGCCCCATCTTGCCTGAAATAATGCATGGAATGGCACTTGAGGTCTTCCTCCACCAGTAAAGCTGGAAAGTCGCTATATGACCTGTACTGTGTTAGTGCAACATAAAAAAAAAGTACATATTTAACCGATTGCCCAAGATGTATCATAGTTTGGGAACCTTTCTGTTGAAAATTAAATTGTATATGTCACAGGGTGAGAAAAATGTGCAGCCTGACCTGGACTCGAACCCAAGACCCTCGGAATACCGTACCGCGGCTCTACCGACTGAGCTATCTGGCCGCTTACACATCTCCCCTAAATAGTTAACAGTTCTGAACCGTGACATACTCCCCTGCTATATTGAAATTCGTCCTCGAATTTCACAGAGTTACAAAGCAATGTCAATTAAACTCTAAACTTTATTCAGTCACGGCCCCACGTTTGGCACAAAATGTCACAGGATGAGAAAAATGTGCAGCCTGACCAGGACTCCCACCCAAACCCTCGGAATACTGAACCACAGCTCTACAGACTGAGCTTTCTGGCCGCTTACACATCTTCCTAAATAGTGAACAGTTCTGAACCGTGACATATACATATACATGCACAGTGTGTTAACTGAAGTGCAGATATTAGTTAACTGCACATCCGAGCATACCCATTGATTGGCTCATTTTTTCTGGGGTTTACTTATTGTGACAGCAGAGAAAGGGATAGCGAAAGTAATATCATATTCAGATGCTTGTTCATTGGTTACTTTTTGTGCCCCCACGTTAGTGGCGGGCATTTAGATTTACCCTTGTCCGTCCGTCCGTCTGTCCGTCCGTCCGTCCGTTCACTTTTGTGTCGCACGTAACTCAAAAAGTATTTGACCTAGAGTCATGAAACTTTACAGGAATGTTGATCAGCATGTGTAGTTGTGCACCTGGGTATTTTCGTCTGGATATTTTTAGTATTTTTAGAGTTATTGCCCTTGACTTAGTAAAATTTTGCAATTTTCAACTTGTGTCGCATGTAACTCAAAAAGTATTTGACCTAGAGTCATGAAACTTTACAGGAATGTTGATCAGCATGTGTAGTTGTGCACCTGGGTATTTTCGTCTGGATATTTTTAGTATTTTTAGAGTTATTGCCCTTGACTTAGTAAAATTTTGTAATTTTCAACTTGTGTCGCACGTAACTCAAAAAGTATTTGACCTAGAGTCATGAAACTTTACAGGAATGTTGATCAGCATGTGTAGTTGTGCACCTGGGTATTTTCGTCTGGATATTTTTAGTATTTTTAGAGTTATTGCCCTTGATTTAGTAAAATTTTGCAATTTTCAACTTGTGTCGCTCGTAACTCAAAAAGTATTTGACCTAGAGTCATGAAACTTTTACAGGAATGTTGATCAGCATGTGAAGTTGTGCACCTGGGTATTTTTGTCTGGATATTTTAAGTATTTTCAGAGTTATTGCCCTTGACTTAGTAAAATTTTGCAATTTTCAACTTGTGTCGCACGTAACTCAAAAAGTGTTTGACCTAGAGTCATGAAACTTTACAGGAATGTTGATCAGCATGTGTTGTTGTGCACCTGGGTATTTTGTCTGGATATTTTTAGTATTTTTAGAGTTATTGCCCTTGACTTAGTAAAATTTTGCAAAATCAACTTGTGTCGCACGTAACTCAAAAAGTATTTGACCTAGAGTCATGAAACTTTTACAGGAATGTTGATCAGCATGTGAAGTTGTGCACCTGGGTATTTTTGTCTGGATATTTTAAGTATTTTCAGAGTTATTGCCCTTGACTTAGTAAAATTTTGCAATTTTCAACTTGTGTCGCACGTAACTCAAAAAGTGTTTGACCTAGAGTCATGAAACTTTACAGGAATGTTGATCAGCATGTGTTGTTGTGCACCTGGGTATTTTCGTCTGGATATTTTTAGTATTTTTAGAGTTATTGCCCTTGACTTAGTAAAATTTTGCAATTTTCAACTTGTGTCGCACGTAACTCAAAAAGTATTTGACCTAGAGTCATGAAACTTTACAGGAATGTTGATCAGCATGTGTAGTTGTGCACCTGGGTATTTTCGTCTGGATATTTTTAGTATTTTCAGAGTTATTGCCCTTGACTTAGTAAAATTTTGCAATTTTCAACATGTGTCGCACGTAACTCAAAAAGTATTTGACCTAGAGTCATGTAACTTTACAGGAATATTGATCAGCATGTGCAGTTGTGCACCAGGTATTTTGTCTGGATTTATTTAGTATTTTTAGAGTTATTGCCCTTCACTTAGAAAATTTTTGCAATTTTCAACTTGTGTCTCAAGTTACTGAAAAAGGATTTGACATAGTCATTAAACCTTATGGGCAGGTTGCTCAGCATATTTAGATTTGCACCTGGGGTTTCGCTTGTGGATTTATCCAGTATTTGTAGAGTTATTTCCCTTGACTTAGTAAAAAGATTGACAGAACAGTGGCGCGGTGGGGGCACCCGTGTCCTATGGACACATTTCTAGTTTTCTGGGGTTTCATATTGTGACAACAGGGAACATGTTTTTAGTTTTGCCTATGATGCAAAAGAGAAAGAACATCAAAACACTCAGCAATCTGATTTAATATAATAATACAAATCAGATAGCGTCATTTTCGATGTTCTTTCTATTACACATAATTCACACCCTTGCAAGTATTAATACAAACATAGGCAGATTTACAATAACATGTGAACAAAAAGGTGAAATGCCTAATAACCTACTTATACCCAATATTATCAATTGGAAAATTTAAAAACAATTTTTACCTGTGGAAAGTGCGAAGAAAAACAGAAACATGTACAACAAAATCGCTAAAAATTAGATTACTGCCAAAAACTCGAAATTTGCCATACGTGAAAATAATCTGATATTAAGTATATTCTTGTGTCAGAAAATTATGTGAAGATTGCATTTTGTTTATGTATTTTAGCTTACAACACAGTCAAGAAAAAACTCCATCAAAAAGAAGATTAAGCTATTTTGCACAAAAATTGATCTTGTCAAAACAAAAAATAGTTGAAGAGAATATTTTTATTTCTGATCCTTGTTTACAAAATGAAAAAAAAAACTTGTAGGCTTTATACCTGACCCTGATAAGCTTTGAAAGTTATGGCTATTTCAAAAGACAAATTTCCCAGAAAATTTTATCAAAAGATACCAGGAAGTCTTCAGATGAAAGTGAACGCAAAATTGAAGAAAATGAACAACTTTATTATAGAACTTTTAAGTAAAAACACAGGTTTCTGATATGCCCCATCACGATCATGGTTACACAACTATTTTTTTTGGAAAAGGAAAAACTCTGAAACTGATTTAACTTTTTACAATGCAATTTTATGGGTTTGGTCACCTATGAAAAGTTCCCATGGCAGTGCTGAAAAGATAATTTTATGAGGGAAACAGATGAAGAAAAATGTTTTAAATGTTGAGGGAGGGTGTCAAATGAAGATTACGAAAAAACTGCGCCCAATAGTAGTGGGAAGTATTTTACTCATTTTTATACCAAAGTAAAATTGTGCAAAAGCTTTTGGCTAATGATTTATAAAAAATTTTGTTCTTGGGGATGCCCTTATGTTTCTATTCAAATTTTTTAAAGGGAAACCCGGGCTTATACTCCCCGGTGTTTCTGGGGTCCCACTTAAAGTGCACTTTGGTTAAGTTATATTGCCTTGGTTTTCCCCTATTTCCCCAAAAATTTAATAAAGTTTTAAAGGGTTTTCCCAATTTAGGGTTTGGGTTTTTTCCACTAAAGCCCTTTTAGATATAATTTTTTTTTGAAATTTGGAATTCTTGTTTTATAACCTTTTGTGTTCACTCCTTTCTAATCTAGAATGCAAGCTCTGTTGTGGATTTTTACATGAAAAATTTTGCCCCTTTCCTTTTTTTTATATTTACCCCTTTTGTAATCTTTTTGTCAAAAAAAAATGGGTTAAGGTTTTTGAAAAATTTTAAAAAATTTTATCAAAATTTAAAACCCTTTTTACTTTTGGGA